AGCACTTTTCAAAGACGTATCAAAAACTGTGGTTTTCTTAAGAATTCGCGAGAACGCGCGCGCTTTGTTCTGAAAGCCCGGGTTGCGAAACAATTCTTGTCAATGTGATGTTCGGGCGCTCCATGTTGAAATCTTCGCGAAACCGAAGGTTCTCGAATAATTTGAGCATGCGTGCGCGGCGACGCGCGCGCGTGCACTTCCTCATATTCTTGCGCAAGGGATCTTGAAACCTTATGATTTATAATGCACAAATGTGCGCGCATACGATTTTTCCAATGGATGGCAGAGGGGGGCGACGCTGGCCTGGCTGGGACGGCGTGAATTCAAACTTAGGACGGGCGATGAGGCAGAACCACATGTACATTGCCGCGTGAAAAGGGGCGTCGATAATCCTGGGGGGCGCGTGGGGGGGGGGTCTACCTCTTTGGGCGCAATTGGTTTTTACAAGCAAATTGGCGCAGTTCATGCTCTTGCAGACGTCCCGCCCGCCCGCCCGCAACTTGGCGTGCAATGCCCATGCGGCGGTGATTGCGGTGATTGCTCGGCGTTGGCTGGTGCGCATCTCTGGCCGGGCCAGACCGAGCGCGCGCGGCGGCGGCCAGCTTGCGCGGCCGGGCCGACGCGGCCGCGGCGGCGCCGACCACCGGGCACTTCCCAGCGGGCGCACCACTGCGAGTCGGCCACCTGGGCGGGCGCAATATCATGGCAACGTCGACAACGGTAGACGCGACGATGATAGTAGCGATGCCAGTGGCGATGTTAATAACGACGACGGCGCCGCCATCGACGGCGCCGACGCCGATCCCGCCCGCGAGCGACGACGACGGCGCCCGCGCGTCGGCGATGGAGGTTCTGGAAGGAGTGCGATAATTATGCGCGCGCGGCCGACGCGCGGGACTGGCCCGCGCGGTTCTAGTTGGCGCGGATCGCGCCCCCCCCCCCCCCCAGCGCGCGAGCCAGGGCGCGCGCGTGATTTCGGCGCGCGGCGCAAGATAAGAATTCGCAAAGGCGCGAACCCAGGCTTCTTTGAAATCTGATCTAAGTGGTTTCGGGGCGCTCGCTTTTGAAATCCGACCGAACCCCGAGGCTTTAAATTGATTTCGGCGCGCGCGCCCCGAGCTGCGCAGGATGATTCTCGCGACAGCACGCGCGCGAGGGCGTTCGAATGATTTCGACATGCGCGCGCGAAGCCCGCTTGGTAGCGCGGTGTGGCCATGTTGAAAATGCTGTAAATTATCGTGGGGATTCGCAAGAGCGCGAGCGCGAACTTCTTTTGGAACATCCACGCTGCGAAACCAAGTGGTTTGATTTTTTTGGACACTCGATTTTGAAATTCCTCCTAAACGAATGGTTGTTGAAGTATTTCGGTCTGCGCGCGCGACGAGGCGCGCGTGCGCATTTTAATGTTTGTTGCAAGGGGTTTTGAGAAGCTGATGGTTTTTGATCGACGAGTGCGCGCGCGTTGTATTTGTTGCAGAGGATGGCGGGATGGTCGATACCGCCCCCCCCCCCCTGGGATTGTGCGAGTGCAGGCTAAAGATAGACGGTGACGGCAGAATCGTCGGTACATTGCAGTGCGGAAAGCTGCGCCGTGAAGTCCAGCCTCAGCAGGGAGGTGGATCCTGTTTTCTTTAGAAAAGAGAATATACATATGTGGTGCGACCTACGTGGTGCAGTTCACCAATGCTCGCAATGATTTGTCACCCACCCGCAAGTTGGCTTGCAAAACCATGCGGTGGCGATTGCGATGAGTGCTCGGCGTATCTCTCCGGCCGCGCTAGCCCGCGCGTGCTCGCGCGCGCAGCGAGCAGCTAGTGCTGCTCGACCGGCGCGCCCGCGGTGGCGCTGACCGCCGGGCACTTCCCAGCGGGCACTTCATTGCGAGTCGGTGACTTCGGCGGCAACGGTATCATGGCGACGCCGAAAGCGGTAGACACGATTATGGAAGTAGCCGGTGACGACGGCAAGGCCAATGACGGCGCCTATGTTGATCATCCCCGCCGATAACGATGACGGCGTCCTCGCGTCGGTGGTGACAGTTTTGAAAGGAGTTCGACAAGCGCGCGCGGCCAACGCGCGCGAGTGGCCCGCGTGGCATTACTTGACGCGTATCGTGCCCCCCCAGCACGCGCGCAAGGGCGTTCGGATGAGTTCGCCATGCGGCGCGAGAAACCCGTTGGGCACAACTTGATGACAAGATTGAACAACGTATGGTTTTCGTTGAATTCGCACGAGCGCGCGCGCAGGTTTGTTTGAGAACTGGCGTTGCAAAACCATGTGTTTATATGGATATTTCTGTGCATCTATACACACACACATATATATATATATATATAGCCGGGACTTTCGATTTTGAAACCTTTCCGAATCCTCAAGATTTCGAACGAGTCCGGCAAGCGCGTGCGACGAAGCGTGCGTGTGCACTTCGTCCCGTCTGTTGCAAGGAGTTATCGAACATGGAAGATTTTGATCAGCAAGTGCGCGCGCATATTTTTTGGCAGAAGGGGAAGGGGGGATATCGATACTGACTTCAGTCCTGGCTGGGATGGTTCGAATTCATATTTAGGGTGGACGAAGGGCAAGCTCAGCTGTAACTTGCAATACGAGAAGGGGGGGCGGTTGAATCCAGGGGGCTGGTGTGGACGGGGGGGGTAGATCCCAAGTCTCTATCAAGGGAACCTATATCTTGTAAAATCGATGTGGTGCAATATGCATGGTGCAATCTATTGTGCAATCGATGTTGCGCAATTTGCGTGCTGCAATATACGTGGTGTCATTTACGTTGTGCACTCGATGTGGTGCAAACTATGCTGGGCAACCGATGTGGGGCAGCCCGTGTGGTGCAGCGTACGAGGTGCATTATAGGTTGTGCAATTTGTGTAGTGCGATCTATGTCGTGCAATCTGTGTGGTGAAATGTGGATATATATATGTGTGTATATATATATGTGGCAATATGCGTGGTGCAATATGTTGGTACGATATATGTGTTGCGCAGCACATGTTGTGCAGTCTATGCGATCTGCAACATGTGTTGGCGGCGACGAGGCGGCGACGGGGCACCGACGGCGATCACCTTGACGCCAGAGCGGCACACCAGCCCAGGCGACGGGCGGCGACGAGGCGGTGACGGGGCATCGACGGCGACAACATATCCGCCAAAACGGCACACCGATCCAGACGACAGGCGGCGACGAAGCAGCGACGGGGCAACGACGGCGACAACGTAGCCGCCAGGGCGGCACACCGACACAGACATCGTGGCGGCGAAATGGCGACGACGGCGACAACTTAGCCGCCAGAGCGGCACACCGACACAGACGCCAAGGCGGCGAAGAAGCGACTCGGGCGGGGACGGCGACAACATACCCGCCAGACTGGCATACCAGTCCAGCTCATTTGACGAGAAGTTAATACTGTAAGTGCAAGCTCTGTGTTGGGGGAAAATGGGCTCCCGAAATTTGGCATGACAAACGATGTACGACGAACAATGAAATATGCCTGACGCGAGTGAGCGAATAATGAAGATGTGTACATACTGCGCGCGCGTGCCAGGTGCAACCACCCACGCCGTGTTGCGGCTGTAAGGATTATTTTCCCTGCGCCCGCTTCTCGGACTCTTGACAGAGTGAGACAAAGTTCGTCGTCGTCGTTGACGCGCGAACGGATGGAACTGACGCTCCCGCCTCGGCACCGCGCAGATTTCGCTTGAAGGTGTAGTGCTCCCGCTTCGACGCGGCGCATCTTTTCCATTCGCCAATGTTGGGAGGCCCGCGCGAATGGGAGATTTGTCGCCCTCGCCCAAACTCTGTGCGCATTTCGCTCGGAAGTGGAAGTCCCGCGAGGGCGCGGCGAGTGGCTCGCTCGCCGAATCACGCATGACAGCGATCGCGGGAGCCGGGCCGCGCGAAAACAGGAGAAACGGCGACCTCGCCCAAGCGCAGCACAACTTGTGAATGATGAGTGGAAGTGCCGTGTCAGAGCGGCGCATGCTTTGTTTTCGCCGCGTCTGCAGGACAGTTTCCCGCTCCCGCCCCTGCGCGGCCCGCGTAATGTTCCCTTCGCCAAATAGGTCGGAAGCGAGGCCGAGCGCAAGCGCCCTCCCCTGTCCAGATGGTCACGCGTTCCACCCCCCATTTGCAATTGTGCCACAACTGATGCATCTGGCTTTGCGGGAGGGAAGGAGGGAAGACGTGGGGTTCTCTGACTCGTTCGACCTTGCAAACTTGACTCCTCGCCCTGATCATCCTTCCTCTCCCTCCTCATTATCATCATCCTCGTCCCCCTTTCGCAACCTCGCAACAAAGAGGCGTTTCGTGCCAAGCAACGCCGATACAGAGCAGAGGTGGCAAAGGACAAGGGGCTGTGCCAGCCTTCCTGGAACGCATGAGCCGCACCGCGGTGCGACGTCTTCGCTTCGCGAAGCTCGGAGGACGATCTTATTACTCTTAGGGGGCCACAGGAAAACCCTACCCCTACCCCCCACGATTTCTGAGGGGGAGGGTGGGGTTCACTTCTCTCGGGAGCTCCCGAGTGAAGTGAACCCCACCCCCCCCCTCAGAAATCGTGGGGGGTAGGGGTAGGGTTCGCCTGTGGCCCCCTAACTCTGGCTCTCCAGGGGCGGGGGCGGGCAGGCAATTCGAACCAGGATGCTGTGCTGCTCGGGGCGCACAGCAACGTGGCAGCGCGTCCCCACGTGGCAACCGTACAGTCGGGCTGCTGAAAAAAAAGGACGGCCGAATAAGGGACGAAGCGCTTCTCAGGCCCCCGAACCGCCTTCACTCACGAGGAGGGCTAGAGGAACAGCCATGGAATGACCTCAGGAACATCCAGCCCCTTCCAAACCCAAGCTGTTCCTTCTTTCAACGTCCTGACTGCAACGACCGTAGCGTGCGCAGCGCGTCCCTACTCCGGGGAGCTCTGGAACAAGCGTATGGTAGTCAGCCGAACTGCAGGGCCCCTCCTCCCCCCTGCAACTCCAGCGCTAACCAAGCACCACAATCAGCTTGGCGCTTTGAGGGGCGCGCTTATCTTGGGCGAGCTCTCTGTCAAAGCGAGGTGGTCAGCCATGAAATCCTGATCCTTGTTGTACCCTGGCAGGCAGTACCGGCTCATGGCTTCCACGCCCTGCTCGAGCTCGTGGAACGTCAAACGCCCATTGCCGTCCTTATCCATCCGCTGCATGATGCGAGAGACCTGCTGGTCTGTGGGCTCCCTGCCGTCGAAAAAATGCCTGGCGAGCGCCTTCACCTCGTCGGGTGAGAGCGACCCGTCGCCGTTTGCGTCGAGCGCATCGAAGACCTTGCGGAGGTCTCCAAATTTACTCTTGTTGAACACAAGAAACTCCTCCCAACTTTTCGCCATGGTGATGCCGTACTTTGCGGCAAATTCATCCATTCCTGCGGGCGCACGTGCACCAAATGGATATATGACTGGCTCAGGGCGCTTAGCGTCGATCTCATGCAGTAGAGGTGTGAAGATGCGCCATGCCTCTGTCAACTCACCGCTGCCGACGAACAGAGATCCGTCGCCCTTAGCCGTATTTAAAAACATGCGTTCGTAAGCGTCGGCCACATAGATATCAGGAAAGCTCTTGGTGTAGCTCATATCCATCACCACTGGCGCGGCCCTCTTCGGGTCCCATCCAGGAACCTTGTTAAGGTACTTGAAATATACTGCCTCATCTGGCTGGATGCGCAGGACGAGTTCATTCGAGTCCCCCGGGATAATGCTGTTGAAACTTTGTGGCTTGAACGTGATGCGCACTTCCGCCATGCGCTCATCCAGGCCCTTGCCGGCGCGCATGAGGAAGGGCACTCCCTTCCACCGGGCATTGTTGATCTCGAGCACCACGCCGGCATAAGTTGGGCACCGCGACCCTGCTGGCACAGTCTCGTCGTCGAGATCCGCCACCGTGCCCCGCTGTCACACAAAGGCGCGTTCGAGTGTCAAGTGCTGCCTGGTAGGATGTCTGTAATCTTCTGCAGGACTCCCATCCTCGCAAGACGGTTCAATATCGCCCCAAGACGGGCCACTTTGGCCCCAAGACGGCACACGAAACCTTCGAGGCGTCAAAGAAAGCCCCAAGAGCCTTCCAAAGGGGGCCGCGAGAGGCAACAACCATTACTTGCCCTTAGGTTTTCTCAATTATTTTAAGGTTCTCGCCGCTTCGAGCTTCCGACGTCCGAAGTCGACCCAAGAGGCCATCAGAGCTGCCCCAAGACGGCCTAAGAGCCCCCCCAAGAGGGTCCCATGACGGCTCCAAGACGGCCCAAGAGGCGCCCAAGAATGTCCAAGAGGGCCCCAAGACGGCCCCGAGAACGGCCCAAGAGGGTGAACACGAACTGATAACTCGAGCCTTCCGCCCCGAGAGGGCTCAGGAGGCCCCACGAGGGCCAACACAGGCCCCCCAGAGGGCCCCGAGATATAACAACTATTGATTTGCAGTCGTATTTTCAATATTTTATTGGCTCTCGCCTCTTCGAGCTTCCGGCGCTCCAAGACTGCCCAAGAAGCCCCCCAAGACCCTCCCACGACGGCTCAAGAGGCCCACAAGAGGACCCCAAGACGGCCAAAGTGGTGCCTAAGACTACCCAAGAGGGCCCCAAGACGGCCCCAAGAGGGGAAACACGAACCAAGCATTCGAGCCTCCTGCCGCAAGAGGCCCCCTTGCCTTCTCGAGTAGTTGCTGCCCATGATTTTGCGCTGGCACGGTAGCGGAATTGCTGGAGGCAGCTGGATAGCCAGGCTCTTGGTGGACTTTGCCTCCAGAACACTCCCACGTGTTCTTTCCGAACTGCCCTAGGAAAGTGTCCTTCATCTTTAGAGGGGGTATGGCCTTCAACACCTTCACCTTCTGCTCGGCAACGCTTTTACGATCGTACTTGGCTGGAGGTTCCATGGCCAACCAGATGAGCACCTGCAACAAGTGGTTCTGCATAATGTCGCGGATGATGCCAGACTGATCAAAATATCCACCACGGCCACCTGTGCCCAAGTCCTCCTTGAAGACTATCTGCACACTTCGAATCTGTTCTTTATTCCAGAAGCTCTCGAATATCTGGTTGCCGAAACGCATCGCCTGAATGTTCAGCACGATCTCTTTACCCAGGTAGTGGTCGATCCGGAAAATCTCATCCTCGGTAAACAGCTTGGAAGTGCAAGCGTCCAGCTCTGCAAAACTGGCACTGTCTCGACCAAAGGGCTTCTCGAGAATGAGACGAGTCCATCCACCACCTGGAGCCTTAGCGCTGGTGTGGATGCACTTGACCACGTCGCCAAAAATCTGGGGCGGAATGGAAAAGAAAAACAATCGGTTAGCCTTACCACCGCCCTCGAGCTTGAGGAGGTGCTCGTGCAGTCCCTTGTACGAGTCGGGAGAATCGTAAGGTCCAGAAAAGAAAGAGCACTGCTTGAGGAACTTCTCCTTCTGGCCTTCGGGGGAGGAAGAGCAGGACGGTAAGCATCAGGAGGATCAAGAGTAGAAGAGGAGGAGTAGCATCAGCAGAAAGAGCAGGATGGCCTCCCTTGACGTTGACGCACTGCTTCGCCAAGAAGTCGTCGAGCGCGACAGGAGAGCGTCCGTAGCCCACCACGTTCGCGTTTTGTGGCACCAGCGGCGCGCCAGGGCATCCGAACATCCGCCGGCCTCCTTCGGGGCCACCAGGCTGCGGAACTCACGCGATGGCCAGAGCTTGCAGAAGCACGCCGCGCCCAGAAAGGATGTCAGAGGCATGCCGATCCAGCGAAGACCAGCTTAAGATGAAGATGGGGCTGTTAGTGATGAAGAGGATCTCCCTTCCTCAGTGCCCTCCCCCTTCCTGCAAGGGCGGCGTGTGCAAGGACCATGGGGCGGCGCGACAGCTCGACGGCCACGTGGCCTGGGCGAGCCAGGAGTGCGTCGACCGATGGTCCTCGGAAAGCGCTTCAGCGCTAACGCGTGCTCGTCCACCGGAGGGAGCCCTTCCATACGACGTAGGCGGATTGAGGAGGGCCCAAAAAGGCCGCGTGCTGTTGGTGGAGCTGAACGGGATAACACACACACATGCACACAACACACACACACACACGCACGCACGCACGCACGCACGCACGCACGCACGCACACACGCACGCACACACAAACGCACACACACACACACACACACACACACACACACACACACACACACACACACACACACACACACACACACACACACACACACACACACACACACACACACACACACACACACACACACACACACACACACACACACACACACACACACACACACACACACACACACACACACACACACACACACACACACACACACACACACACACACACACACACACACACACACACACACACACACACACACACACACACACACACACACACACACACACACACACACACACACACACACACACACACACACACACACACGCACGCACGCACGCACGCACGCACGCACGCACGCACGCACGCACACACGCACGCACGCACGCACGCACGCACGCACGCACACACAACACACACACACACACACACACACACACACGCACACAACACACACACACACACCTTTGCCGGGGAGACGTAATACTCGAGCTTTGGGGGCTCGGACTTGCCTGAAAGATGGCCAGAACTGGTCTGAATTTTGACGCGAGCCCCCGCGAAAACCATCTAGCGACAAGTGGATCCTCAAAATCCAAGCTGGGACTGCAGAACAGCAGTGGCAGACTCGAATTCTGGCAAACTCGAATCTCACATGTCCCTTAACTGGCTCACACTGACTACCTAGCAGACCATCCCAACCCAACTCGAAGACCCAAATTTCGGGTTGGGGGGGGTACGGGTTCCACATGTGTTTTCTCGATGTTCCCGACGCCGCCCCCCCCCCACTCGGAATGGATGGCAAAGTGGGACCTTCGGGTTAGGTTGGGGTGGTTTGGTGGGTAATGAGACTGAATGGGCCCAGGGACGCACATCTGAATACACACGAACTCCCATACTGCCTGGATGTTTGCCTTCCCCTCCACTTCCCATGTCCTCCATACTCTCCCGGGCATCGACGACTCTTGTCTGTGTGTTTCCTTCCCCTCCCTGAGAGACACGCGTCCTCAGGGCCATCGGGCCCAGGGCGGCGCCCCCCTCCCGGGCGGCCTGGTGGGCCACCTCTGCGGCCGCGCCGCGCACGCTGGCGCCGCGGCGGGCCCCGCCGCGGGGGGCCCGCAGCGGTGGCCACCGGGCGGCTCCAGGGCGGCGGGACGTGGCGAGGCCCCCGACAGAGGAACAGCAAAAACTGCAGAAACATACGGTTTCGACGGTCCGCGCGAATGTCTTGGAGCTGAGCTAGACGCCGTCTCGATGGCGCGCGGAGCGCGCCAGGGGCGGCGCCGGAGGCGCCGCCAGGGGGCCCAGCGCGGATCCAAGAACTCCGCGCCGAGCGTCGAAAGTTTATGTTTATGCCGCGTTTTGTTCTTCGACCCCAGGCCACCGTGGGCGCTGGTGGCGACGTGGCCGCCCCGAGCAGCGGCCTCAGCTGCGGGCGCCCAAGCTCCGCCCGTCCACCACACGCGAAGGGGGGGGACCACATGCAAGAGTGGCCTTTGGCGCGCGGCTTGCTGGTCGTTGCTCACGATGCGGCAACAACGGCCCTGCGTGCTAGGGCTTGCCCAGCCCCCGCGCGCCCCCTGAAAGCCGTGCACAAAAGGTCACTCTGGCGAAGGGCCCGCAAACCCCCCCCCACCCCCATGGTGGGGTCTGCAACCCCCCCAGGGGGGGGGGTCTGCAACCCTCCCTCGAGTGTGTGAGCGGCATGCGCACTCTCCGGGGGCTGGGGTCTGTAAACCCTCCAGGGGGGGTCCGCCCCCCCCCCAACAGGAGGGGTCTGCAAACCTTCCCCAGGGGGGGTCTGTGAACCCCTTCGGTGTGTGTGTGTGTGTAAACGGTCACTCTTACGCGTAGTCGAGGATGCGGTACACAGTTATCATCATCATCAGCAGCATCATCATCAGCGTCATCATCGTCGTCATCATCGTCATCATCATCATCATCATGAATCATCATCATCATCATCATCATCATCATCATCATCATCATCATCATCATCATAAACATCATCATCATCATCATCACTATCGCCATCACCATCACCATCACCATCATCACCAGCATCATCACCACCATCGTACATCTGAATCACGGTCATCCTCGTCACCACCATCATGATCATCCTCGCCTTCCTCCCACTCCCCATAATCATTATTATCATCATCAGCATCATCATCATCATCGCCATCATCAGCAGCACCAGCAACACCATCACCGTACATCTTAATCACAGTCATTCTCGTCACCACCATCATGATCATCCTCGCCTTCCTCCCCCTCCCCATCATCACCATCATGAGCATCATCACCACCATCAGCATCATCAGCAACACCATCACCATCATCGTACATCTTAATCACAGTCATCCTCGTCACCACCATCCTGATCCTCTTCACCTTCCTCCCCCTGCCCATCATCATCATAATCATCGCTATCGTCATCATCACCATCAGAATCACCATCACCATTACCATCACCATCAGTATCGTCATCATCATCAGCATCATCATCACCATCATCATCGGCAACATCAATTTGCATATTGATGATAGTGACGATGATATGATGGTGATGATGATTATGATCATCATCATCAGAAGCATCAGTATCATGTCATCAGCATTACCATCAGCATCAGCATCAGTCGAACCGCCAATGGCCACACATACAGTACGTGTGTGTGGCCATCTGCGGTTCGGCTGCCTGCTTCCGCCGGGCGACGCGGGCGCGCTCCCCGACCTGCTCGTGCGGCGGGCCACCCCGCTGCGCCACGGGAGGCTTGCGAGGGTCGGGTCGGGCGAAAGGGGGGGATAGCAAAGGGGGGGGTTTGGGAATCAGCTCACGTAGCTGCTTTTCCCGGCGCCTCCCGGCGCCGGGAGGCGGCCATGTATCGAGGAGTGGGCCTGGCGGCGGGGCCGAAACCAGCTGCATGCAGCAGATTTCGTAACCCCCCCTTTCCCAATCCCCCCCTTTCGTCCGGCCCGAGAGGGGGGAGGGCGCCCTCCCCTGCGAGAAGCGGAGGCTGATGGCTGCCGGGTGGCCGCCCGACAGCGCGGCGGCCCGCGGCGCTGCGCCTCACCGCGCTCTCGGCCCTCGGGACGCCTGCCGTGCGCGCGGGCCCCGCTGGCGCGGAGCTGCCTCGCACGAGCAGCCTTCGGAGGCCGAGGGGTGCCACGGTCGCGCAGGGACACCAGTACGGGGCGTGAAAACGACCACAGCCACTGCTTTTTCTTTTGTTGCCGCCTTCCAGCCAGCAGAAACAAAGCAGTGGTTGTGGTCATTTCCGTTGAGCTTGGCGCCAGGGAAATGACCACAACCACTGCTTCTTTTTCGGCCGCCTGGAAGGTGGCGCAAACAAGAAGCAGTGGCTGCGGTCATTTTCCAGTCCTGCAACCAGGCACCCTCTCGGCTCGCGTCGCGGGGCGCACAGCGGCTGCTGTGCCGCGCGGTGGATGCTGCACGCCGGCGGCGGAAGGCCGCGCAGCACGGGGCCCCGCAGGGGTGGGCTTCAAAGCGGGCGCCGCAAGGGCAAATGGCCTGGGGGCGGACATTTCGTGAGTGTTCCGTCGGCTGCCACTGACGGGAAGAGGCGGCGGCAGCGCACGCTCGCGGCCGGCGTTCCGTGGGACCCCAGCTCGACCAGGGACCAGGACCAGCAATACGGTAGAGGGAAACAATTACTGAACACCCCCCCTCCCCCCCAAACTCAATGTTGGCACGCGCGGGGGAGACTGCGGCCGAAGTGCATCTCATCAGACCCACCGCCAACTCTGAACATCGGGGGGAGGGGGCGGCGTTGATGGATGAATGTGGCGTGTGTTCGCGAATTTGTTCCGAGGCCTGTACGACCCTTGGCACCAGCGCCAGGTCGTGGCCGTGGCCGAGCCCGGTGGCGCAGGCCGCACGGTTACCCACCGCGACGCCAAGCAGCGCGGCAGCGCAGCGCGACCAGCGCTGGGGGCAAGGATTGAGACCGCGGCCACAAGCATAATGGTGTGAACTTGAGGAAACCCAGAATTCGGGCATGTTTCGGGCAAGGGCCGTTTCTATGTTAACATAGAAAATTGGGCTTTTTTCGGGCGGCGGTTCGGGCAGATTTTTTTGTAGTTCTCCTTTTCGGAACTAGCTAGCGTTGCCATTCGTGGCTTCCAAACAAGAGGAAGGGGAGCAGCAAAGAAGGAGGAAAGGAGGCTTACGACAAAATGGGGAGCGGCAGCGGTCGGCCGCGCGGCTGCAGTCGCAGTGCGGCAGGCCCGACCGCGGGGGGCGAGCGTGCGGCCGGGACGCCCGCGAGGGGGCGGGGCTGTGCGCGGTGCGGCGTGCGGCAGTGGCCGCTGCGCGCAGGGTGGCAGGCTAAAGCGACGCGAAGATCGGGACAACATCGGATCGGGATAACTCGAAATCTCTGAGAATCGGCGGGTTTGGAGGATGTATTGGGCGCCGCGGCCGCTCCAGAGCGTTCCGGAACGCTCTGAGAGCGCTCCGGAACGCTCTGGAGCGATTTATCCCGATCCTAGCCCTGTTTTACAGGCTGTCGGGCCGTGATGCCACGGTGCGGCCGGGCCGGCTGCAGCTGGCCATCGCTCGGACGTCCATTCCCTGTGTTTTTGTTCGGCTTCGTGCGTGGCTTTTTCGCCAAAGGATCGGGGATGCTCCTCGATGGTCCTCGCCGAAGAAAAAATGCACACGTCCGAGCGATGCCAAGGCAGCAACGGAGCCCCGGACGCAGCGGCCCTCCCCCGGGGGGAGGGGGGTGCACGGCTCCGCGCCGTGGTTGACGAGGAAGTTCCAGGGAGGATCCGATCATCCCCTCATCAGCCTCATCGGCAACAGCAGCACAGGCATGACCATCGCCGCCATCATTAACACCGCCATCATCACTAGCGCTGTCACGCTATCGTCATCGTCACCCATGGCGCATGAGAAGGCCTCTCCGGGAGCCTCGCGAGGCATCTTCGGAACATCCACGCACAGCCTGGACCACCACCCCAAGGGCCGCCCGGAACTTCTTGACGTTCCCAAGGAACTCCCAGTCTTCTCAAGAGACTGATAAAGCCTCCCAGGGCCACCCAATGTCCCCAGAAACTCTCCAACGCCTCCAGTTGCTTCACAAAACTTAAGGGCCTCCCACAAACTCTCCCACGGCGTCCCGTACGATGCCAGATCGTATCGCTAGTGCGCGCACAAGTCTTGCACTGGTACGCTTGTGCGCCCCCAGGTAAGCGAAGTCCAGTCTGGGTTGCGGCGGAGCGCCGCTGGACCCAAACGGGGCGCAGGAGAGGAGCGACAACTGCACGCTTGACCGAGGTCTCATTTGGGTCTTCGTGTTCACCGCACCGCTGGATCCTCCAGGGGCGCTCGTTGGCACGCAGTGGGGAGGCTTCACCTGGGTCTGCACGGGGCACGACTCCGACGGACACCACCCCGGGCGCAGGAACGCGGCGACGGCTGCACACCTGGTGGCACCTGGGAGGGAAGGGCGCCCAACTTTGCGCGTCGCGCCGCGCGAGAGGGCGAAGAGCTTCGCGCCCTCGCGCCGCCCACCCCCAGGGGAGAAGCGGAGGACGAGGAGGAATCGGGGCCGAACCGCGAAGCGCGAAGCGCGACAACCTTCGCGCCCTCGAGGGCTCCCTTGCGACAGGTTGCACGCTTAGCAGCACCCAGGGAAGCGAGATCTCACTTTGGACTGCGCTGCGCACCACTCCGCTGGGGCCCCCCCAGGGGCGATGGCAGGTTGCGACAGCTGCCCGCTCGGCGGCATCCCGGGGGTCAAGCTCTGATTCAGGCCCGCGTGGGACAAGGGGGCAGGGGGATGGGGGTAAGGCTTCTTAGAAGGAGGCTGCTTCTTAGAGAAGGAAGGGATCAGGCTTCTTACACTGAGGGGGTAAGGCGCCGGGCCTACATCTATAGACAAGGCCCGCGCCTTCTGAGAAGCAGGGGTGCTTCTAAAAAGCCTTCCCCCCTCCGCCTATCCCCCTCTGTGCGTGGCCGGCCATTGGCCCCCCTCCCATTCCCCATTTGCGCAATAGAGGGATGACTAATGTATTTTGGGGGGTCTGCGGAAGGAGGACCTCCGCTGTTCCCAGCAGGGGCGCGAGAAACGGGGCGGCAATTGTACATTCAGCAGCACTCAGGAGGGCGACATCCTTTTGGGGCTTGTGTACGGCAGGGCTCTGTTGGAGCTGACAGAGACGCAGTAAAGGGGCGACAATTGCACGATTGGCAGCACACAGCGGGGCAATGTCTGGGACTGCCACTCCGCTGACACCCCAGGCGCAGGATAGTGGCGACAGTTGCAGGTGAGGGGGGGTAAGAAAGAGAGAGGGAAAAAGAGAGAGACAGAGAGACAGAGGCACACAAAGAAGAAAGAGAGAGGGAGAGACGGAAATATGTTGGGGTTAGGCAAACGCATGGGAGGCGGAAAGGATCAACAAGGATAAGGGAGGATGCAGGAGACAATGCGATGAGGTATAATGATAGAGGACGAGGAGGTACAGTTGTCGTGCGTCGTGACGACGCGACTTCGGCGTTGGTCTCTGACACCATGCGGATCGTTCGACCTTGAACGATCGTTGCTTCCCGAAATGGTGAATCGTTCGATTGCAGCCGACTTCGGGCCACTGACGGCGTTCAGCCTTGAAGGCTCATGCTGGGGTCGCCGCCGTGTCGACACAACGTGAGTCTCCTGTGCGCAACATACGCCAAGGACGCAGCTCCCCCCCGTACAAATATGTGAGAAAAGCATGGCCGCAAAAGGGTCAATATGATGTTCCAATCAACCCACGCCGCAAAGTAATCAGAGAAGGGGGGCCTGCGGCAATGGGCAAAACACTGGGTATAAGCTGGTACACAGCAGGATACAGCTTCTTCTTTGCGAGATCCCCCGTCGCACCGAAGATCACGATAGACATCGGCGTGACCATGTCCACTTCATGGGCGTTGTCCTTTATGTGGCTCATGCTCGAGCCCCCTTCGGTAACCTTCTGGTTCCTCAAGCGGAGGCATGCCTCCGCAGCCTGCTCTGAAATCTCACCGAGGCGCTCCTTGACAAAATTAATGAGCTGACCTACGGTCGGCACCTGCCCGACTTCTTGCTCGAAGCGCTCCAGCCAGTCTCGAGCAGTCATTGTGCTTGGACTCCTTGGAGTCCTCACAGGCATGGTCCCGTTGCGACCGCTCAAGCATAACTGCCCCTCTTCATCCCGGTCACCCGAGCAAGCCTGCCCCATGACGCAACCAACGCGGACGAGGCGGGGGAAGCTGCACCCCACAGCCAAGTGCAGATTCAGTTGAGGGGGGAGATTGGGCCTTCAGCCACAATGGCTTTGAAAAGGAAGGGGTGGAGGAGGGGAGGAGGAAGAGCAGGAGGAAGAGGATAAGGCGGAGAACACAAGGGTACGTAAAGGACGACCGGTACGAAGGGAAAATCGTCAAGGACATCAGCATTCATGTGCTAGTGCGAGCAAGCAGCATCACACAACGTGGCATCCCCAAACGCCTTGCGCCCGATTGAGGGCCCATACCCTGCACAGCATGCGCTTCGCACAATGTGCTGAAGAAAAGAATGGTTGCCAACTGCCCACTTGTACCGACCATGGCCAGGGCAATCCTGGGCCCAGGATTGGTGGATATTTTCTCCCGGCCAGGCCAGGAAACCTGGCACATGCTCCGGCTCCCAGCAGTCTGTGCCGAGAGAGGGACTGACGAGGAGAAGGGAGAAGGGAGGAGGAGGAGGAGGAGGAGGAGGAGGAGGAGGAGGAGGAGGAGGAGGAGGAGGAGGAGGAGGAGGAGGGATCGGCAAACTGCGGAGTGCTAGTCGGGCGGCATCCAGGACCCCTCCCCCCCTGCCCGCCTTGCTCGGGACGGACCACGCCAGGTGCAGCTAGGCAGCAGGACAGGGAGCTCCTCCTCCTCCTCCTCCTCCTGTCCTCCTCCTCTTCTTCTCGGCGGTCAGCTCGGGGGGGGGGAGTGAGAGGGGGCGGGCCTTCTCAGAAGGCTCGGAAGTCCTCCATCCTTCTGAAAAGTTTTCGGAACCTTCAGCGAAGGCTGGAGGGCTTCTGCGAAACCCCGCCGCCTCCTGAGAAGGCCTCCTCCTTCTCACTTACCCCCTTCGCTCGCCGCCGATCACCGTCCTCCTCCTACGCAACTGGCTTCCCGGCGCCCCACGACGCCGGACGGCGCCGACGTATCGCGGAGAACGCTCGACGGCAGGGCCGAAACCAGCCCTCCGCATCTGATGTCGTGTCCATGAGTTTCCCAATCCCGTCCGACCCGATAGAGAGTCATCACCATTGACCACCAAGCAATATCAAATACATCGCAATATATTATACTGCTCTTGCGGGATCCTGCGCGTCGTCACCGTCCTCCCCGTGCCAAGCCACCCCTCAACACCGACTAGCAATTGCAGCGGGGCATCGGTTAAGGAAGCAATTGGCGATATGCTAAGGTCTGAGGGCTGCCTCAGGGATGTACAGGAAGTATTCCAGTGCTGAGTCAGCTCTCGACAAATCGAACAAACTACTGAGCTGGAGATTCAGATGTCGAGCCAGCTCTCCTACGAGCTGCTCGAGAAGTGCTGGGCCGAGCTCGCAGATGGAAAGCTCAGAGCCCCTCTTCCCGGCGCCTCCGTTTCCTCCTCCCCTCCTCGTCCCAGCCTCCGCCTCCTCCTGCATGAATGAAGGGGCCCTGGGACACACAAATCAATACACACAAGTAACATGATTCCACATAGCTTCCAATCTTTTCTGGGTTTTTGTCTTCCCCCCCACTTCCCATATGTTTCAGCATTTTCTGGGGAATCGACGATGAGTTGTGTCTGTCTGTGTGTGTCTTTTCCCTCCTGCATGAAGGGACGGGGTCCCCATGGGAGGAATGGCTCCTGGACCCTGGGGGCCTCCCCCAAGACCAGCTCCTCAGTCCTCGACCGCTTCCTGAAAGCCCCCGGGGCCCCGGGGAAGGCCCAACTCGTCATCGCTCGGACGTCCATTCCCTGTGCTTTTTGCGATTTCGTGCGTGGTTCAAGGGTGCTCCTTGGTGGCCCTCGCCGAAGGAAAAATGCACACGTCCGAGCGATGCCAAGCCAAGGACAGGCCGAGAAAGGCGAGGGACCCTCGGGGCAGCATGCCCTCTGCTCCACGGCGACCTGTCCTCCTCAGGCCTCCTCGCCGCGCAGGGCCCCAGAGCTTTCGACCCGTGGGCCCCGACCCCTCCTCCTCCTCCCCCTCCTCCTCCTCCCCCTCCTCCTCCTCCTCCTCCTCCTCCTCGTCCTCGTCCTCGTCCTTCTCCTCCTCCTCCTCCTCCTCCTCGTCCTTGATCCTGTCTCCCGCACGCTCGATCTCCCAGTCGCACCCCAACGCGCCCCCCCCCCTGGGGCCCCCTCGCGCGGGGCCTCCGCGGGGCGCCCACCTCGGGCCTCCGGGGACCCCGGGGCTCAGGAAAACGAGGCCGTCGACGACGGTGGCGGCGGCAGCGGCCAGAAGGGGCCAGAGGGCACTCTGCTGCGGCGTTCGTGTCGTGGCGTCTGGCGCGCTGGTTTCTCGCTCGGCGTGGGTCGTTCAGCCCCGAGCGAGCGCGGCGTTCCGAGAGCGCAGAGCCATCGGTGTCGTCCTGGTTCAGGGCTGGCGGCGTTCAACACTGAACGCCCGCGCTGGGGTCGCCGCCGCGTCGACACGGCCGTGCGTCCACAGGCACGGTGGCGCACTCGGTGCGCTCATCGCTCAGGGCCTGCCGCTGAACAGTGGCGGCTCCTCTCTTGGAGCGCCGGCGATCTGGTCCCCGACTCCGCCGCGGGCCCCTCCCCGGTCAGGCTGGAGAGCTCTCTGCGGGGCGGGCCCGCCCGTCAGAGGGCTCCCCAGCAGGCCGCCGTGCCTGAGGTCTGTCGGAGAGGCCCGCTCCGGGCCGTCTCGCGCAGTCACACGCGGCGGCGAGCGCGAAGGAGGCGGCTTTCTCATCGTCAGGCCTATCGCCATTCCGTGGGCCAGGTCTCCTTGGCGCCACCAGCCTACCGCTCGGAAAGGGGCTGGATGCCGCGAAACCCGACGGAGACGTCATCTATCCTCACTTATGGGAGGGGTCGGACAGCGGGGTCAGGGCTTTCTCGGCGCAGCGATGCAGATTCCAAGAAGGCAGAGGGGGCTTCTGAGGGGCCTTCTTGGAGGCATCTGTCTCTGGGCCCTGCTGAGACGGCCCCTGCTTCTCAGAAAGCCGCCGCCCCCACCCCGCACCACCCCCTTCTTCGATGGGGTCCAATCCACAGGGCGTCGCGAGCTTGGCTGACAGCCCGCTTGGAGGATGCAAGTAGAAGCATGAAGCAGGACGTTCAAAATAGACCGGGTCTCGGCCCGCCCAAGAAGCAGGCGGCCAAGGTAGGACGCCGTTGGGTCTCGAGGCAGGAGGGAGCTCGAAGCAGGTTGGGACATGGGCAAGCGGCAAGGGCCCATGGCTGCCAGAATGAGGGCATCGGTAGGCCGTGGGCCCGACTCGGGCAGGGCCTAAGTATGGCCCGGAAGGCAGCAATTGACCCCCGCACTGGCTCTAACCACCCGTCTTCTCCAATCAGCGACCGCCATTGAAGCGGCCTTCCTCTGCCAGGAGGGAGCCCTTGACCTCCAGGCGGCGTGAAAAACACGCACGGCTGGTACTTATCCACTTCTCAGGTCTCCGAGGGCTGCTGTCGGTCCCAAGGGCAACCAAAACGGGCCCACGGCGAAAAAGTGGGTCTGGACCATCTTCCCCCACCACTTCGAGCATTCGAGCTTTGGGCCACCGAACCATCATAGGCGCAGCCCTCCCCCCCCTCAGCGGCCTGCGCGGCTGGGGCGGGGGCCAAAAGCCGAGGACGTGTTACGAGGATGCGTCAAGGCGCCCTCCAGGGGGAGGGGCGCGCTAGGCCCTCCTCCTGCCGCCGGAGGGCGGAAGCGAGGACGTACGGAGGGCACACGGCGGCGGCGGCGGCGGCGGCGGCGGCGGCGGCGGCGGCGTGCGCGAAGAGCTTGAAGCGGGAAGTTGGCGGCGCTGGCTGGCGTGCGTGACCAGGTGGTCCCCTGCCGCCCCTGGCCGATGCCAGGGGCGGCAGGCGACGCCAATCCGTCACTGAGCCCGCTCCAAAAAAATGTTACCCCATTCTTTGGCGTGGGGGGTGGGGGGTTCAAATCATTCTGGGCTCTCTCCTTGGAGCCTGACATTTGCAACAGGCTCGCGGATGGAAGGCGGTTCGTTATCAGCACGTGTCCCTTGCCGTACCGCGGCGCACATTTGCTCGAATCTGTGGCAAGAACTTCGATGGTGGAGGGAGGCTCGTGTTTCAAAGCTTGGCTATCGAACCGACGCCGCGTGCGCTCGACTTAAGCACGTGCAGCAACTTCAAGGGTGGAGGGCGGCTCCTTCTCGGAATGGTGTTCTCTCCGGTCTCTCTCTCCTGTGACGCAGAATGTGTCCTTACGGTTTGCAGCGAGGCCGCGTATGCTTTGAAATCCTACGCACGGGGTTTTGGCACGATTGTGATTTCGGATTGTCGAGACGCAACACTCAGGTTGACTCGCGGCCTGGAGGCCCGTGGAAACACACTCGCATTGTTTGTGATTGTCATGACTCAACAATCTCGTTGATTCGAGTCGATGAAATATCAAGAACGGCTCTTTGGCACGCGTGAGGATTCCCAGACGGTTGTCTTGCAGTGGAGCGCGTCCCGCAATTAATATGCATAATTGTAGGAACCTGTGGCAAAGGGGACTTGGAGGGAGGATTTCTTGCAACATCGTTGATGCGTCTTGGGTTGTCTCGATCGAAACGCTTGTGCTTCAACCCCTGCGGCCTTCGCCCAGTCCCCCTCCTCCTCCCCCACCTGTTCCTTCCCACCTTCTCCGCTGATCCGCGACCCCGGCATATGTCTACCTTTGAAACATGTGTTTGGGGTCGGGCGTGTCGGCCGGATGTCCTCTACTGAAAACGTGAAAGCCTCCGCGACCCTGCGAGCGAAATGCCCCCGACCCAGAGGTCTGGAGGGTCGCGCGGCACTTTTACCTTAGCGCGGCTCGGCGGGGGAGGGAAGTGAGGAAGCAGCAGAAGGAGGAGGAAGGGCAAAAAGCCGGCGCAGTGGCATTGGCGGCCCGGCAGGAGAAAGGTAGGGGTAAAGGGGGGCGGGGGTTGGGGGCGGTCGTGGTGGCCAAGCTGGTGGCGGTGGTCGCACTGGGGGTCGTGGGGGGGATCGTGGTGGTCAAGCTCGAGG